GACTCACCTGCAATATGGTAATAAATTTACACATACATGAATATTTAATTGCCCAACTACATCCTAGTTAAGGACTCCTCATGATAATTATCAATAAAGTTATTATATAATGTATAATTGTAGGGGAAACACTGTGTATCGCTGAATCAACCTTTGAACCAGCAGCTCTATCTGATAACACTTTAGCTCCACTGAGCTCCACAGCCTGACTCTCCCTCAGCCTCCGGAGAGGAGGAGGGGGCTGACTGTCCTGCSCTGCGCTCTGTGTTTTAATGGACAACCAGCAGGTTCACACTGGATATCTGCCTCTAATCAGTCATAAAACAAACTGAGTTAAATTAGTTAAAGATCCTCTTTGTGGTTCAATATTATTTTAAACAAATTAAAAYGTTTCTTTGTCACGCAGTTTTGATCGGGACTAAATCACACTCATGCACACATACACACAGCCTAATGATCAATTTTTATTAGACCTATTATTATTATTATTATTATTCTATAATATAGATCATTGCCAGTGTTCAGGAATGAATGAAAGGCGGACAGATGAAGCTCAGCCCGCTCTACATCCAGCAGAAACAGGAAAACAAGCGTGTGTTTAGAACTCCCGCAGAGAGCAGCAGGAGAAAATAAGCAGCGCAGCGAGGCAGTGATTGGCAGCTGAATGTCCACGATCAGTTCGTCATTGTTAAAATTTAACAAGCAGCTCCCGTCGAACTGGATCCAAACTTCACTCAAAGAAGACCTGAACTTTTTTATTCCTGATCTAAACTAGTGATCTTGTGAGCAGAGCAGCTGCAGCGCAGTTTTTTTTTTTCTGTCAGGCTGTCGGGCCACTCCAACTCCGCTGTCCGGCGCTGGGGTGGTCTGGGTCTGACAGAGCTCAGCCGAGGCTGCAGTAAAGAGCTCTGTGTCCTGAATGATCCAGGGAGACAACACAAGTCAGTTCCAGATGGAGCTGGCTTGTTAATTTTAAATKAAATGTGTCGTRAATCATTGTGTATGTCATGAAACATTACTTTTTGMAAAACACAATTTGTTTAAAACAGTCARAAATGTTAGCTTGTCAAATTAAGCCAGCTGTCACGTTCTCTTGTCCTGCCCCTCCCTTTCTCCTGCACTACCCACTGTTGGCATTTTTGCCTTGGGGCGGAGTTATCCTTTCACATGGGGGGTAAGATACACTTCAAGGTTTAAAATATGAACTTTTGGTTCATTCTTGTGTTGAAATTTAGCCTCCAGCCACTAGTTGGCAGCAGTCAGTCAGACATTTGGTTCTTCTACTCCTAAAGAGCCAGCGAGTATAATACTAGCTCAATCGCTAGCATTGTGAGTAAATGAGCACCAAGCACAATGGCTGAATCTGAGCGGATTAGACTGGCACCTGCTGCCTTTGCAACTGAGGTAGAGTTGCCAACAGTTCTGTATTAGCTGAGATGTCCATATTTTAAGCCAAATTGAAATGTTCTTATGAGACACTCTTTCCCTGGACTGCAGGCTGCAAGCATAACCGTCATGTTATGGCAGGCATTTATCTAACACCCTGAGCTAAAGGGGGTCCCCGAGGGTTGGTACTGAAGGGGCCAAATGCAACGACCGTATAAAACACMGAGGGCATTGAAATGATTGGCATATTCACTCTATCTCCTCAAACGAAAGGTGCTCCATGACAGAAATGTAGCAGTTGCCTTTCATCCGTTAACTGAACATTAAAACAAGATGTAGGCTGTTGTTAGTGTGTTGGTTGAACATTTATTTATATTAAATTAATATTCTAAATCTAAACTCAAACTATTTAATGGCACATTTAGACTAACCATTGAAAACATGGATGAAATAAGAAATATGAACATTACAAAAATTTTAATTTTGGGAGGAAAAAAGGGCAACGTATTGCAATATACTGCCTTGCGTACAGTATCACAGTATATTGCGATGTATCGTATCACAACCTGTGTGTCATGATCATATYGCCAAATTCTTGCCAATACAAACCCCTATTCAGAGTCTTCCTTATCTGCAATGCATCTAAAAGTAGATTTCTGCACCCCATCCTTAGCAATCACTGCTTAAAAGGTGGAAAATGTGGTAAACCTTTCAATTTGAACTTCATCTGACTCAATTTACAGTAGAAAAATACATTTTAGTCTACTGATCTGTTAGCATGCTAACTGCTTTATCAAAATCTTCCATTCACTTCACATAAAGGCAACTTAATTTTTTGTCCTGTGACATCTACAAATGTAGGTTAAACATTGTGTGGTAGCATAATGCATCAAACTCTCAATACGTTAGGAGGGTATCGTCTATGTTAGTAGTTAACTGTGTGTTTTTTGTTGACAGGACTGTGAGTTTGATCCGGTGAAGTACAACAGCATCATTGAATGTGAAAAACCCAACAACGACCTGAACAGGTTCCGAGGCTACATGTGAGTACTGCGTACATCTGCCCACTGCACGCTTGTCATTTTTAGGTCTACTGTTTGGATATCAGTTTGTCAGACCTTTTACTGACATGTAATTCAGATGCGTTTGATGTATGTGTCTATGTGTGGATGTGTGTGTTCACAAAACACTGAAGCCAAGACGGGTTGAGGCAGCAGGTAGGGCTGCCAGCAGTTATTTTTAAAGTCAACTAATCACCAATTATTTGTTTTCGATTAGTCGACTAATCGGATCATATGTTAATTGAGTATAAAACATAMAGCTTATCGTGCCAGAATGCAGCTGCTATTATATAACTATCGTCAGATTTGAGCTATACACTAACTAAAAATAATTGCCATGGAAGGCAAGTTCTGCCTTGCAGATATTGCACTGCACATTTCTCTTTCATTTTCTTAAAATGATTCCACACTTTTGAGCTCCGTTGCTGGGTAGCCATGATACCAGAGCCTGTCTGTATAATGTCTTGTGACGTTCACGGCCTACCCCAGTTACCACTACTGTGCATGTGTGTCAAGGACAGAAAGGCAGATGCGGCAGTGCAAGGTGTCAAAGCAGTTTGGAGAGAAAAACAAAGTAACGAACAAAAAAACGACTAATTGACTATTAAATTAGTCATCGACTATTTTAATAGTCGATTACTCGTCGATTAATCATGGCAGTCCTAGCAGCGAGTGGTGTTAAAGCCAACCCACCCCTAGTGGTTCTTTGTACCATGTAGTAACAGAGTCTAAAGGGCCCAGTTGAGGTGGTTCATCTCATTAGGGAGGTTTCTCTTTAGAGGCGTTCTGGTAGGAGGTCCCAGGGAAGACCCAGGACATGCTGGAGGGATTATGTATCTTACCTGGTGTGGGAACTCCTCGGGGTCCCTCAGGATGAGCTGRAAAGTGTTGCTGGGGTTAGGGATGTCTGGATTTCTCTCCTGGACCTGTTGCCTCTGCGATCTGATTATAGATTAACAGTTGAAGATGAAGATGGAAAATAGATGATGACACACAGCAACTTTTTGTTTAATTAAATAAAAAAAATGGTTAACCACACAGGAGGTCACATAGCCAAGTTAGTTTGTCATGTTTTTGAAAATGAGGAAGACATCTGACAAAATTAATACTAGGGGTGTCTCGATGCAACTTTTTCACTTCCGATACGATACAGATACTGTAACTTTGAGAATTGGTCGATACTGATATTGACCCGATACCATACCAGAACGAATCACACACTTTTACATATTTTGTAGTGTGAAATCTTAGAAAAGTCTTGATCAAGTCAAACAGTGAAAAAGAGTAGGTATGAGAAAAATTGACCCATTTATTTTTAACATTTTAAACTGAAGAACATTCTACAATTTAATAAATTAAATAAAAATAAATTAGAATACCCTGAAAAATAAAACATAATAAAAACAAAATATACTTTTAAAGTGTAAAATAACAATTCAAAGTCACTCCAGTTATTTTTTTTACTATCTGTCAGCCTGGTGCTGCTTTATGGTGGGAAAAACTGAAGGGGGGGGACAAAACAAAACCCCACATTATTGTCCAATGTCCATCTGTTCAAAGTTAAGAGTCCACAGCTCCAATTTTACTGACTGTGCCCAAAACAACGTGATCATTGCACTTAATCTTCACTAAAACAAGTGTGTAAACAGATTAAACATCACTCAATAACAAGAGCAAAAATAATAAATAGTAAGAATTAGTCAGTGAATTAAATTGATAGCTACCTTTCTTACTGCTGTGTTTCCACTTTCTACAATCTGAGCATCACGTGGAGATTAGCCTCTCGCTCCTGCAAGGAGCAGTTTTTAGCTCTGCTCTCGCCATATCATGCTCGTATTCCAAAACAAAAGCTGCGCTCTCCTTTCTTCTGTCAGTTAATCCCAGAGCTAATCCACGGGCAACATTCTGCTGATGTCAAAACCGTAAGCGTGCTGTCCTCGCTTATAGAACCACTGGCCGGACCGGAGAGGACGTTCTGAAACTGGAACCATGGAGACACACTGACCCAAGCCGAACCGCATAGCTGCTGCCAGGGGTGGAGAATAGAGCTTGGTTCTCTCCTATTTAAAAGTACACGTTTTTTTCCCCCATGGAAAACTTGTGCCTGACAATTTTGCACTTAGCTTCAACTCTGTTTTTGATGAACATATAAAGTACTGCCGACATCGCGCCTGCTTCTTGCTAACTTGTTAGCGCAGCATGTTGTTGTGATCACGTAGGCTCTGCATGCTGGATCTAAGCACTGCTGGATTGAAATGCTGGAGCAGAGTCAGTGGACTGCTGGAATGGACTACTTATATCGGAGCGCTTATATCGGACATTTTTTATGCAGGCCGATAAAATCCGATACTCGTTTTTTGGCTGATATCAGACCGATATCCGATATCAAAATCGGATCGGGACACCCCTAATTAATACGTTAGCAGTTCTGCTCTACACCTCTTTGGTTCTGCGATATTTGCTCATTTCTGCTCATGTCTCTTCGGACGGCTCCATCTGTGACTTTTGAATGGCCAGAGGCAGCATAAAAACAGCCTGGTCTTTGCAGCTGTGTTGTGAAACTGTTTTGTTAGAGAGTCACGTGAGTGAGGCAGAGGACGAGAAGTTTTCTCCAAGTTTGATTTGCACTTGTACAGTTCTGACATGTATGCTTTGCTCGGAAGAAGACCAGATGCTGCAGGTATTCAGTTGCCAAGCTACAGTGGAGCACAGGGCACAGTGGCCCGGCTCAGCTGTGCTTTATTACGTTACAGTCAATGACACCCAGTTTAATCTCACTTCCTTTCAGGGAGAGTAAACTAGTCTGTGTCTCACAGGTTGTTGTCAATATCTGTAACAGTTGAAGCTGTGAAGTCTGCTGAGCCACTGCTTTGGGCTCAGGGACATTCTTATTAATCTATAATGCTGATGATGTTCAATTGGCTTGTTGTCAAGGGCCAAAGGATGAATATTCCTGCTGATAAACATGTTGACAGATGACACTACAACAGAGATAATGAAGTGTTGCTCCTAACTAAAGGTTACAAAACTGTTTCTTTAACACTTCTAATCTTTATTTGAACTTTTCTTTACAAGAGTTTAAATTGACTCATAGTTTACTGAAGTTTACCATCTCACTTTTGTTAAGGACCTGTCACACTATAACATTGACTATTAACAATGAAAAATTTGTCCACCACTAAAGATGTCCAAGTTGCTTACTGTAAGGCTAACAGTTAGATTGGATACAGCCAATATTAGTAAAATAGTCATAACAAAATTTTCACAAGTTACCATAACTGGGTTTCCCCTAGGATTTTTTTTGTTCTCAGTCAGCGGGTTTACAGTTTTAGGAGCTGCTTGAGGAGAACTTCCTCATTCTCCTCCTCATCCTCTTTGAAGTAAAGACCAAAAATCAAGATCCAACATCCATAAGCTTTCTGCTTACAGGTCAAACATTTTCTTTTAAATAGGAATATACTGTGTACCTTATTAAAAGTTACAGTTCAGTATTCTTAGCACTGAAGACTTTCTGAGAAAAGAGGTTTTTAAACATCTTTTCTATGATTTTAGTGTTTTCAGCTGAGGAGCTTTGATATATTTATTAAAAAAATTATAGCAGAGGAAGTTCTCTGCACAGAAAGAAAAAATATTTTTACTGCTTTTTTAACCAAACTGACAAGTTTCTCCAGTAAAATGACTGTGTAATTTAAAGGCATTGAAACACTTAGTTAAATTTAGAAGATATTATGATTAACTACAAACACCTGAAGCTGACTCAGAGAACTCTGTGATTTTAGAAAAAAATAAGTCAAATGTAGACACGTCTTTAAAAGAGCCCCCCAACCCCACCCCGCGCAGCTGCAGTCTGCTTGCACCTCCACTCCACCCRTGTGTGACCAATACAGATTTTTTTGTAGTTGAAGTTTAGTGAGTTATTCTACTGTCTTTGATGCAAAAAAACAACAACAACAACAACAAAAACAAAAAAAAGGCGATGAACGTGGAGCTCCAGTCCAGCTGCAGACAGGTGGACTGAGCCGCAGTAAGAACCTTTGCAGAGAGGAGCTCAAAGGCAGGGATGGAGGAAAAACAGCCGGAGACAGAGTGAGGACTTTGACGAGGAAATAGGTGATTCGTTATTTTGATTATAAGAGGCAAGAGAAGAAGATCGAGCACCAAGTGGACTCTACGGTCCTGTTACCGGTCTGCCGGGGCAGATTGTGCAGCGCTAACTGGGTGCTAACTACACCCAACAGCTGATGAAAGCACGTAAACAAAGGGAGGTGTAGAACTTTTTATTCAGCGGGTGGATCCACAACCTCGGTACCAAACAGCTCAATGATGATTATTGTTTGTTTTTGCCAGGGTGTGTTTTTTCTGATTTTGTTTTATATGTTAAAATCATGCTAGCAGTAGCGGCTAACGTCTACAAACATCCAACACCTAACTACACAGAACTAGGGCAGCTTAAAGTCCAGATGAGGTCCACATTAAACTACCAGTAACTAAATACTCACTACTAAATAAACAACCATTATAAACATAACCTCTAAAACAAGTTAGCAGCTAACATACSTTTTGAAGTGATGGCTGCCAGCAGACACCATCATTCTGCTCCTCCCGACCRCAGACAGTTTAAAATCCACTTTTTACTCTGTCGTTCTGTGAGCTTTCTACATTTTTCATCTTTGTGTATGATAATCAGTGTTATCATATGTTGTCATAGGGTTGGGCAGAATTGTGTGGAATTATTCAGATAAACTTTTACTGGTTATTATTTGGCACCACCTGCTGATGTAAGACGTGTGTGGTACAGACTCAGCAAACCTTTAGGTTCTGTCGAAAACTCATTCATCTTCATCATACGAGTCATGTCTGACATATTTGTGAACAAATTGTTGTCATATATCTTGAAATAGGATCTAAATCCATACAATATAAACTCTCTACAGTAGTTTCCTCCATAGACATTTAACCTCCTGCCCTCCAGCGGAGATTGCTCTGCCTTGGAAACCACGTGACTGAAACCCAGCTATTGATTTCCTCCCCCACAGTGCTCTGCTTGTCTCCTCACTGTCCCCCCATCACACACATACGTTTGTTCTTCTATCCTCATGGGGACTTTGCATTGACTTTCATTCATTTAACGGTATTTTCTATAAACTATTTGACCCTAAACCTAGCCTAAACTTTACTTAGGATGTGAATTGGGCTTAAGTCCCCATGAGAAACAGTAGGTCCTCACCAGGGTGTGTAATTTGCTTCATCTCTAAAGAGATGCTGCTCTTTAATATTGTTTATTTACAGTCTTAGTTGTGTGTGGTGTTTAATTTCCATTTTGTTGTTCTTTGTTTTTTTTTTTTATTCAAGTGCATTTTTTGTTAAGACTGAAGGGCTCGACACACGGGGAGCTACAAACTACAGCGATTAACGGCTGTCATCGCAGCCAGGGTGAAACCCGACACACAGGACGCGATAGCGATCGCAGCGTTACGAATCGCGCTCTCAGGTCGCTTGTCTTCACGAAATTTGATTGGTTCTTGACTCTGAAGGTGGGTGTGCATTACGGACGTGTAAMCTAAACAAATCTTGCGATGCTAATGATATTGAAAAACAAACACACATCAAGATACAATTTTATGAGGAAAAATTTACCATAAACTTCACCCTGGTGCCAATAAATTCCCACAAAGCTTTTTAGTAATCACTTGGTGAAAGTGTTAGCTAACGGCAGTGTGTAGCATACTCTCCTCTCGTTGGTCAGTCAATGAAACCCTCGCTGATTGGTTGTACGTTAAGCGACAGCAACAAAAGTTGAACATTTTTCAACTTTCATATGTCGCGTCGCAAGCTCGCATGTGCACGTCTACGTGTACGAGTGCAAAATTTCACATGCACTATTTTCGCCGGTCGCTTAGCTGGAGGAGGGCAAGCGATTGTCGCCTCACCGCACAGGCTCCATAGGAAATGAATGGAGAGCGAGCAACGTCGCCTCCTGTGTGTCGAGCCCTTGAGAGTCCATTTTGTTAAACATTCTTTAAAAATTAAAGTTTATTGATCTTTGAGAGGATGTACTTTCATTATTACGCTTTTATCATTATATTAGTTTTAAAATGGTCATCAGACAATATTATTGCTTATCGCAATAATTTCTGAGACAATTAATCGCCCAGCAAAATTTGTTATCGTGACAGGCCTACTCCTGAGACACCCCGCGCCAAGATCCTGGGAAACCTCTCCCGCTGCATCATACATCACTGCATGAGATTTCTTCCCACCTGAGGAAAAAAAATTCAGAGACTCGTCACCCGACGTTATCTATCCACAAACTGGTCCTGGATTAATTTCCAAAGTTTTCATCAGTCGGATACCACTGTGAAAAACGTCTGTTTTATCCCCTTTTATGAGTTTTTGGTCATTTGATTATCTTTATAAACTGCTGCTTCCTGGTACAGTCGGCTCTGGTCCTTTTTTTTTTTTTTTGAAGCGAGTGGTTGAAGCAGTATGCAGCGTCTGAGCGCTTTCAGCACAAACACTCCCACGAACTTCTGACCAATCACACAATATTATGTGTTCTTATGTGGTGGGGGTAATAAGTTAGACCCGCAGGTTGTGACACGAAGTGCCGAAATGTCGACAATGCGAACAGAATGACACAACAGAGATGTGCGCAAGTCTTTTTTTTGCAAGTCCAAGTCAAGTCTCAAGTCTTTGGCTCCAAGTCCAAGTCTTTGACCAAAAACATCAAGTCAAGTCTCAAGTCTCTTGACCTCAAGTCCATGTTTAGTTGCGTGTATTACTTAACTGGCAGTTTGCTCAAAGGTATCCTAACTATACTAGATTATATTCTATAATAATATATTTTAATCAAATATTAAAACATAGTATTGTTTTAATAATACTATTAAATCATAATACTGTTTTTAAAATGCAAATGAGGTTAAGGTTGAAATAACAATCAAGCATTTTAACTGTATTTTGCACTTGTAGTCTTACAATGGCATACTGTAATAATATCTTACCATTGACAAAGAACAAATCCAACAAGTCTGCTGCTGATTTTACAATAAAATACCAGAACAAATATTTTTAAATGCATAAAAGCAAGTCAGCAAAGATGATTAACCAGAAACCTTAAAGTAAAAGGACTGCACAAGTCATCACAAAAACAAATTTTGGGTTCAGACTCCACACACTRCATTTTGCCAGTCTYTTAAAGTCTCTGTAAGCAAAGCTTATAATGAATATACTGCAACGCACCTGCCATGCTGAAGCTCTGTTTGTCACGTAGRGTACACGTGATTAACATTGGACGGCGTTGGCCCCTCCCATTCTGAGGTGAGGGGGAGCGGAGTGTATGGAAGAATTATTCTAACTTCAAGAGCGTCTATTTTCAATTTGAGAGCAGGAGTAAATGTCTTTGCTCTTAAAACTTTATGTATTTGTTCTTTAAAGGAGCGGCGCATGGATATGTACTGAGGGAGTGAGAATCATGAGCCGGGTAGTGAAAAGATTTGTATTGTTCACGAGTCTCAAACCACAAGTCCAAGTCAAGTCTCCATTCTTTAGAGTCCAAGTCAAGTCTAAGTCTCTAATAGGGACTTAAGTGCGACTCAAGTCCGAGTCACGAGTCCCCATCTCTGTGACACAATTTTCATCATGAAAGTGCAACAATTTGGCACAATTTTGGCATTTCGGCTGCAGCATGCTGGAGCCTTAAATCTTTGTAGCTCCACACGTCTTCAGCTACAGAACAGAGGCCCAGTTGCTTCGTCTTTTTTCTTTTAATTTTCCATGTCCTGGATGACTGAGAATCCACAGAAACAAATGATAGTAACGCCAAGCGGTCATGGACCACTTTTCCAATTAAGACTGATTGCTAAGTTGAAATCGTATCTCCCCACTAAAGACCTTTAAAAGGTGATTCATGCTTTTATTACCACTCGTTTGGATTATTGTAATTCTTTGTATGCTGGCTTAGATAAATCATCTCTGCATCGCCTACAGACTATCCAGAACGCAGCAGCTCATCTTTTAACAGGTACTAAAAGCATGAACACATACTGTAACCCCGGTCCTGGCTTCTCTCCRTTGGCTTCCAGTTCACTTTCGACTTGATTTTAAGATTTTATTGTTGGCTTTTAAAGTTTTTAATGGTCTGGCCCCATCATATTTGTGATCTTCTTAATATCTACACTCCATTCAGAGCACTCAGGTCTACCAACCAGTTTCTTTTAGATGTTCCTAGATCCAAACTGAAATCTAGAGGTGATTGGGCTTTTGCAGTAGCTTCTCCAAAGCTGTGGAACAGTTTACCTCTTAATATTCGGTCATCAGAGGCTGTTGAGGCTTTTAAATCTTTGCTGAAGTCCCATCTCTTTTCTTTGGCCTTTGATTAAAACCAAGTTGGAGGTTCAGTTAGAGCTTTTTTTTATATATTATAGTGTGTTTCTACATTGCATTTGTATCTATTATTTGTTTGTTTTTTGATACAAGTCTTAACTGAACTGTAAAGCACTTTGGTCAGCTTTTGTTGTTTTAATGTGCTATATAAATAAATTTGACATTGACATTGACAGACCTTAACAATGCTTAAGTTACTTACTTGATACTTTAGTTTTAGCACATCACTTCCTTTCAAAAAAAAATGGTGCACCAGACCATCCGGTCAGAGGCAGGTTCAAATATGAACATTGAACTAAACAAGCATGTCAGATAAAGATTTAATCAACTTTGATTGAACTTCAGAATCAACATGCTAACGTGACAGCAAAAGAATCAGGCTGTGAGAGAGGAAAAGAGAACCTTTTGTTCTAAATAGCACAGCATGCATCATTTACACTTATCATGCCACTATTCAGGTACTGTTAACGATACCGTTAAGACTGGAGTTTATCGATCCCGTCAAAATTAATCACATGAGACTGGTGCTGGAAAAATACCAGTTTTCAGTACCATCCCTACTAAGACTACTGCTTTAGAGTGTGAATGATTGAGGTGCTTACCAGAATAAAACTGATGTTATGAGTTTTTATGATTTATGAAAACACATTGAGAATATTTTTTCACCTTGGTGTCTTCATAATCTCTTTACCATTATTTGTAGTAATTTATTTTTATGCGACCTCCAACCAACAGAATCCATCGAAGCGGCAGAAGAGATGCACTTTACCAAGACAACCTGCTCCTGAGGGGATGCACTATTCGCAACACCGAGGAAGCCGTGGGAATAGTCATTTACGCAGGTCAGCCTCTAGCATCCATGTTCTGTGTCACAATCCACCCAGGACCCTGTGATTAAGGTGCCACATATCTCTGCAGGTCATGAGACCAAAGCCATGCTGAACAACAATGGGCCACGTTACAAGCGCAGTAAGCTGGAGAGACAAATGAATGTGGATGTGTTCTGGTGTGTTATCATCCTGCTAGTTATGTGCCTGCTTACTGCTGTTGGTACGTAAATCAGTAGTTTGGAGAATTTTGTTGTGTGGAAACTAAATATCATTGTGAAAGTCTTGAAACAAAAAAAGTGTGAATGTGGGGTTTTGATTTGTAAAGTGTTTGGACTGGCTTTTTTTTTAAATTTTATTCTCTCACGTTTGCTGACCTTGTGGTGTTACTGTTCCAGGTCATGGGCTGTGGATGTTTCAGTATGGAGATAAGAGACCCGTGTTTGATGTTCTTAGTCCTGAAGGGAAAGACTTATCACCAATCATGTCAGCCATTTACCTCTTCCTCACTATGATCATTGTCTTTCAGGTACGAAGCTGACGGGAGCTTAAACAAAAACTACAGATAAAATGTGCAAAGATGCCCTGTATCTGAAAGTTTAGAAGGGAGTGCTGTTAAGCAAAGTGTAGTTCTTCCAGTCTTCTGGGTATATGACCTCTAAACCTTTATCTTTATGTAAAGTCGGTAAAAAATAAAATAAAATAAAAAACAGTAGTAGTGTGTGCTGCTGCATGTTGCCTCTTTGATACAAGATCAAATAAGTGACACTGAAATCCTATTGATCTGTTTGTTTTAAGGTTAGGTCATCAATGAAAATGTCACCCTGCTCTATGTCAAATACCACAGCAAGGTTCTGATATCAGACATTTTGAGACGAAAGAGAAGGAAGGCAGAGGAGATAGCAGAGTTTATAAATGCTAAACATAATGTCAGGAATGCCTGTTGAGTCACTTTTAAATAAACACCAAAATGTTGGCTTTCAGTAGCTCAAGGACAGCAAACGGACTTAACTGTTCCCTCAGATGTTATGACTCATTTCTCCATGCTGTAATTTCTGGAAATTTCCCATCATGGATCATGCCAACATTTTTATACAGTCAATCCMCTTGTAAATCAGCTATTTAATATTTTAGGAGCAAACAAAATGTTTGAATTTGAATTCTTTTTGTCTGACACAAACTTAAGTACTTCTTGTTCCTACATCATCTTTTTTACATTGTGGTTTTTAGTGTTAATTACCACACTGACACAAAGTTTGTTTTTTTACCTGTTTACTGAAACATATTCAAGTTGTAGTTTTATAATGTACATGGACATAAAGTCCAGACTTTCAGCTTTCATTTGAGGGTATCCACATTAAAACTGGATGAAGGCTTCAGGAGTTCAGCTCCTTAACATGTGCCACCCTGTTTTTTAAGGGACCAAAAGTAATTGGACAGTTGACCAGAAGGCTATTTCATGGACACGTGTGGGCAATCCCTTTGTTATGTCATTCTCACTGAAGCAGATAAAAGGCCTGGAGTTGATTTGAGGTGTGGTGCTTGTATTTGGAAGAGTTTGCTGTGAAGAAAACATGTGGTCAAAGGAGCTCTCCATGCAGGTGAAACAAGCCATTCTTAAGCTGCAAAAAMCTGAAGAAATCCCATGTAAAAAATCTCTACAAAATTAGGAGTGACAAAAAAAAGTATACAGTAGAAAAGTATACAGTAAAAAATACAGTTTGGTTCATCCTGGGAAAGAAAGAACAAACTGGTGAACTCATCACAGATGGACAATGACCCAAAACATAAAGCCAAAGCCAAACAGGAGTTTAAAGCAAAGAAGTGGAATATTCTTGAATGGCCAAGTCAGTCACCTGATCTCAACCCAATTGATCATTTCACTTGTTAAAGACTAAACTTCAGACAGAAAGACCATCAAACAAACAACTGAAAACCASTGCAGTGAAGGCCTGACAGAGCATTAAAAAGGAGGAAACACAGAGTCTTTCCATGAATTCAAAACTTCAGGCAGTCATTGCCAACAAAGGCTTTTCAACCAAGTACTAGAAATGAATATTTTATTTACAATTATATAATTTGTCCATTACTTTTGATCCTCTGAAATGAAGGGAACAAGTATAAAAAAGTTCTAGTTCCTCACATTTCTATACAATCATTTTTTTCAACCCACTGAATTACAGCTCAGCTTAGAGTCTGAACTTCACCTGCATCTGAAATGTTTTGTTCAAAATTCATTGTGGTAATGTACAAAACTAAAATTAGGAAAAGGTTGCCTCTGTCCAAATAGATAAGGAGCTAACTGTACATCTACAACTATTGAAGTTAACCTGATTCAGGATGACCATCACAACTATTCAGGGCTGTGAGATTCTGAGATATTGAGCTGAAGTTTGGTGTGGTAGTAGGTGAGAATCATCCCTGTCACATATGTTGAGCCCTAACTGATTGTGTTGTATGTAATTTTAAAACCTTGGCATGCACAGTAGTGATCAGTTGTAGTTGTCCACCCAGTGATTAATTTCTGAGTTTCCTGAAAATCCGTGCAGAAGTTAATGAGATATTTTGCTAAAAATCCAACACAAATAAAATCATTATTGCACTTCTTCTGATAGCGGGTGATAATAATACAAACAAACCTTTTGTCAAAATATAAACACAGTTTGTAAGGACATCAAATCCTCAGGCAAACAGTGTGTAACGGTGTCGGTATGTTTTAAAAACTGATAGTTCTTCCTGTCATTCAGAGCACACCTAATGATGAATGCAGCAATGCTTTGGTGACTCATTGGTTTATCTTTAGACACCACATGCGTCTGTTTCTGTCTCCTCTCGTCTTCATTGTCTCGCTGTGATATCTGACATACGCAGCAGCTCATACGCAGGTCAAAGTGATGGGTGGACTTCAGTCAGATGTTAGTGCACTGCTACAGGCATATTTTTAAACTATATTTTGTTATAGGAGTGTGGGGTGGAGCACAGATTAGAGAAGCTAACCTGTGATCAAAAAGTAGGCTTAGGCTGTATATGACGGTATTTTGGTATAACCTGGCATTGAATAATGGTGACAACATAAAAATTATGATGGTATTAGTCACGTGAAATGGCAAACTTCCACAAGGCTGTTGTGAAAACGGGGACATCAATGTCCAAGTCTCTTTCAGAAGATGCCCAAAAATGCTCTGATGCCTTTTCTGACCACCTCAGTCTATTCAGAAGACAAACCTGGTGTGGAGACAACCCTGTCTGTTGTAGCTCTTAATCTCAAAGCGAGGTGAAACGGAACACCAAGACTTCGGAGGGAGGTAGTGACGGCCACATTGCATGCCAACTCTTGAAAAGATGGGCCAATGTAGTGCAGACAGACTGCTTTGAGACCAACCAGCCGCTGGTTCCTTAAGTGAAACAAATAGCTGGACACATTTTGGATTAAACCTTTCAGACATTTTTAAAAAAAATTTCAAGACCCACGAGCTCCTCGCTGCAGACAAAGAAATAGCCTATGGATTTATCGGCACAAGAACTGGCAAAATGCCCTGACTTAAGCCAACTTAGGAACATTTTAAAGACAKCTTCGTTGAAAATGGACTTGAAAAAAATCTACAGGAAGCTTCTTTTTGGCATTTACATAATTTAATTCTAACAAATTGATCAAATATATAACTTTTATTAGCAATTTAAACTTAAAAAAGCCCCCACCTGCAGTAATACCATATACCACAGTATTTCCTAAAAGTTATACCACAGTGTGAAAATGATCAATACCGCCCAACCCTACCAAGAAGTCACACTCTTTTTTCTTAACTCCACATCTGCCCAAAATGACAGGCCCCTGTTCCACACTTGTGGGCTGCAGTATTTTGGTGGTCAGTGGTTGTGTCAGAAAGGGCATCTGGTGTAAAAACAATTGCCAGATCCTTGTGTAGGTTTGTTCGCTGTGACCCCTGAGACAGGGAGCAGCTGAAAGTGGGGGAAAGGCTAAATTATTGTCATTGCTATTTTAATATCTTAACGGTTTTTCTCAGTTTTATGCATTTTTAATATTTTTATCCAGTTTGTTCTTTTTGTCATAATTTGGGTCATTTTAACCCAAGCGGTTAGGTCTCTTTGTTCTTAGCTGTTTTTCAATTTAATTGTCTGTTTTAGCTGTTTCACTTGAAACTCAGTGTTTAAACTGTTTTGTTCCTTGTCCTTTTAAGTAACGACCAGCTCTAAATCTTTTCTACAACACTCTCTCCTCTCCTTAGGTGCTGATACCCATCTCTCTTTTTGTGTCAATTGAAATAGTCAAAATCTGCCAAGTGTACTTCATCCATCAGGACTTGGATTTGTACGATGAGGAGACAGACTCTCACCTGCAGTGCAGAGCACTTAATATCACTGAGGATTTGGGCCAGATGCAGTACATCTTCTCTGACAAGACTGGCACGCTGACGGAAAACAAGATGGTGTTCCGACGCTGCACTGTGGCCGGGGTGGAGTACTCCCATGATGCAAATGGTGAGACAAGCCAGCCAACTTCCACAGACACACACCCCTTAGTGGAAACAGTGAATCCTAGTGACTTGTTTTAAGTCGTGTGTGTGTTTGTATGTGTGTTGTGTAGCCAAAAGAATTGCCATGTATCAGGAAATGGATTCAGAGGAGGAAGAATGTATGTCTCGAGGTGGCACTCTGCCCAGGCGGGACAGTATAACCAGTCACCAGAGTGCCCGCGTAGTGCTGCGCTCCCATAGCACCAAGTCTCACCGCAGGACAGGCAGCAGGGCGGAGGCCAAGCGAGCCAGCATCCTGTCAAAGCACACAGCCTTCAGCAGCCCCATGGTCCGTTCATTTCACTGTCCCATCATCCGCCGTCATAAGCTGTGTGCGTTCCATTAATAACCTCTCTGATCTCACAGGAGAAAGATGTCACCCCTGACCCTCAGCTCCTGGACAAAGTCAATGAATGCAGCAGTCAGTTGGACTTCATGCGCTTCCACAGCCAGCCCATGTCCCAGCTGCCCTCTGACCTCTCTGACATCATTGATTTCTTTATCGCTCTCACCATCTGCAACACAGTGGTGGTGTCTTCCCCCAATCAACCCAGGCACAAGGTAGAGATCAACACTTCCCTTTCCTGTGTCTAGTTTGTGTTTATTCATTGTGTTAATTTGATGTAAAACATGTTTCTATTCAATATGGGAGGTGGCTGATTGGTGTGATGCTCACAGCATGTTGATCACTTGGTGCTGAAGTTTACAAACCTGCAGGATCCTCTTTTTGATGCACTCGTCCATGTTATTACATTTTCTGTACTGGAAAGAATACAATACAATATCAATACAACTTTTTAGATTCTCATAAAGTAGAAAAGTAAAGAATTTTTTGAGAAATCTTTCCTTTGATGGTTAGATGGTCAATATTTGACAGAAAACAACAGGACAGAGTGGGATTAGAAGACAGATATTGCAATGATATACTGCATTTACCACTAACCATTGGACCATCCGTTATTTGCAGCCTTAAACAAGCATACAATAAGTGACTACTATGAGTCCATTTGAAATAAAAAATCCTGGACAGTGAAATGTTGATAATGGATCTCATGTTTCCTTCTTTTTGTTGGTCTTAAGAAGCAGGGACTATAAAATGGGATTCTGTAAAAGATTATGTACAACCAGATGGCTCTTTGAGGACCTTAGGTCAGGTCCCAGGATAATTTAAAATAGTTATTTGCCCACTTAAAAATTTTTTTTATTAATACTTATAATAATAAATTCTTCAGATGTGAGTCAGAGCTAATGACTCATCTAAAAACAGTGTTTCCCCTAGGAAATTGATCTGGGTGGGTGGGTGAACATAAATTTACGYRACTCACCTGCAATYATGGTAATAAATTTACACATACATGAATATTTAATTGCCTAACTACATCCTAGTTAAGGACTCCTCATGATAATTATCAATAAAATTATTATTGATATTAAGTGATTAGAACTGTGTGCAGCAGATGATCTGAGTCCAGAGTTCTCAGTTTGAAACCTTCTGGAGCTCTTCTGTGTGACTCTAGGTGTGACAGAGTGTGGATGGTTGATTGTCTCTTTGTCTCTGTCCCTAATGGAGACTGGAGACCTGTCCAGGTGTCCACTGCCTTCACCCAAAGGCAGCGACCACCACCACCTGCTCCACCACCAGGGGGTCTGCGAGCCCCAGAGCCTCACCGTTGACGGGCACTCAGTGGCGAAAGGGCTTGTCGCAATACAGCCTCATTTCCTTCATGCATGCGGGAACAGCTGGCATGAACTGCTTCGCCTGTGTCTGATGGGAGGGCAGGATTTTTCCATCATGTAAATCCCTCTCTTCAATCCCGCGAAGCAGGCCACTCGATGGAGAGCCGGGCTGCGGCCCGTTTACACACAGCATGGAGGTTGACTTCACGAGGCGCAGGAGAGGGTTGAGGTCCCATCACTGATGGAGCWGCCCGGTCGTGACAACTGGGCTGCGGGAGGGAGAATGGTGTCCTCGTCGTCATCTTCATTGTCCTCCTTGAGGAGGTCCAAATTCATGTCCTCCTCGCAGATGTCCTCGTCCTCACCACCGAGAAGCTGGTCAAACAGCGGAGGAAACTCCTCGACAGGGCTTTCCAACTCCACATTGTCTGCCCGCTGCACCTGTCCCACCACCAGGTTTAGCGCCAGGCTGCATCCCTGCCTCAGAGAGACATGGGTCGGCTTTTGAGGCCGCTGCAACCTGCAGGCGTCTCTGCARGATCGGCGGGGCCATGAGGCGACAGTGGTCGCATGAGCTGGGGTCTGCCAGCGCCTCCTTAGGATGTTTCGCCTCCATGCACATGATGCAGAGGGGATGAGGATCCTTCCCCGAGATGGTGTACCTGCAGGAGGATGGGCAAGGACGGGGCTCGACATCCTTAGCCTTGCCGCAAACCGACTTTCCTCGAGAGGATCCAGCGGTCGCCATCCTGTCCGCACTCAGCTTCGACAGCTCAAGATCAAGATGAAGAGGATCTAGGGATACATTTATCTGTTAGCTAAATGAATATTTTCTTGACGAAAATGTATTTTTCTTTACGAAAAATATATTGACAATTTTTTTTCGTAGGTCCAAATCACTTGAAAAATTCACATTCTGGACTAACCTTGACGGATGAGTCTGTGAACAGTTACATGAGTAATCCAAGTCCAGGTCCGAAGTAGGAGCCACTCTGAGCTTCATGTGGAAGAAAGCGAGAATTCCAAGTGTCGCGCAGGAGCGCTTATAAAGGGGGAGGGCGCCCCTGTGCCAAGCATGTATTGGTCTGTCAGAGACAGACGTGGTGACATTGGAGCTTCCATGACTGGTCACGCCTGAAGGCGCTTCCCATAGTGAGATACCGCACGAGGTTTGAAAGAGAACCAACAGCAGCAACAGTGAATCCAGTTGTGAAATACATAGACTTACAAAGGATACACTATTTATTCACAACATGTAGTATGAAACCCCTAAATACATACTAATAAAGAATAAATGCTGGAAATATAATGGGTTTTAATAAATTTTACATTATGCACAACTTCTGTCTGGTTTTCAAAGAGCCCATTCGACTAAGTCTTCTCTCCGACTAAGTCTTCTCAGAGACTCTAGTCTCGTTGATGTGCCCATTCGACTAAGTCTTCTCAGAGACTCTAGTCTCGTTGATGTGCCCATTCGACTAAGTCTTCTCAGAGACTCTAGTCTCGTTGATGTGCCCATTCGACTAAGTCTTCTCAGAGACTCTAGTCTCGTTGATGTGCCCATTCGACTAAGTCTTCTCAGAGACTCTAGTCTCGTTGATGTGCCCATTCGACTAAGTCTTCTCAGAGACTCTAGTCTTGTTGATGTGCTGGGATACAGGAGAGTCTGTAGTCTTGTCTCTGAATTGAAGTTCAGCCTTTGACCACGGTCAGATTTAGCAGGTGGCTGATATCAACAAATCCTACCAGTGGCTAGAGAAGGCTGGACTGAAGGATCATGGCAGCACAAGACCACTACAGGCTAGGCCCTAATGTCTTACTGAATTGAATCTAAAAATAGATTTTGTATCRATTGTAAATGATAAATTTATGATTCAATGCAACAAAACAAAGACATTTAAAAAATGAAAAATAYTAATACTTGTCCTGCCCCTGAGTTGTTGTCTTTGAATAACTATGGCCTTCTGATCAATTTCATTGAATATCCCTTCATCAATGTCTAAAAATAAACTGCTTTAAAGCCAGCATTGATTATAAACTTCTCCATTGACATGACATTAAATGCTTCTCATTGGTTCAGCCTCGGCCAGCTGCGTCTCCATTTCCATTTTCTGCATTGTTTTTGGATCAGACCGAGACGTGGTTCCAGGCAGGTCAAGAGTATTGTGCATAAGCAAATTTGACGTCAAACAATTGTTGTCGGTGGATTGACTAAGCCGAGGCGGAACATGCAAACTCATCTGGAGTGAGGTGCAAAACATTTTTATCCACATTTAGAAGATGAACACATACAGCTTGAGCTCGATGGAGCACTCTGAAATGAGCAGATATACCAGGAGGTTTTGGACAAACTGGCAACCCATGGTTACACACGCACTTAAAAACAGTGCTGAGGCAATTTTTTTACAATAAAGTCAGACTACCAGACAATAAAAGAAGCCAAAGCTGCTCGCTGACAACACACCCTTTATCACGCCTACAGAGTGCGGGACACACTGCCATGGAGAGTAGAACCAAACATGAAGCGAATAGAGTGAGACTTGACAATGAAGTAGAGGTTTTAGTGTGGTACGTCCAGATCCAGATTGACAAACAGTTGATGACTAACCAAACAGTTTGGTAGTTGACAAAGTGCAAAGAAGGCATTAGTGATGGTTAGAAAGGTAAATGGACTGTACTTACATAGCGCTTTCTATCCAGCCAGGATATTTAAGGTGCGTCACACTACAATCTGTGTCCTCATTTCTTCATTCACACAGCACTCCATTAGGTCTTTACAAAGCTAACATGTACAGATCAATCTGTAGACACCATTCAGTGCTTTAAATCACATTCATACACTGATGGAACACACATCAGAGGCGGTGGGGGTTCAGTGTCTTGCCTAGGAACACTTCAACATGTGTCAGAATAGCGGAATGGAATAGAGCAGGGGTGTCAAACTCCAGTCCTCGAGGGCCGCTATCCTGCATGTTTTAGAGGTTTTCCAGCTCCAACACACCTGATTCAGTGATTGAATTAACTCTTCAAATTGGGCAGAAGCCTGTTAATTACCCAGCGATCAAAATCTGGTGTGTTGGAGCAAGAAAACCTCTAAAACATGCAGGATAGCGGCCCTCGAGGACAGGAGTTTGACACCCCTGGAATAGAGGAATGATGGCCCTAACCACTCATCCACAGCTGCCCTTGAGAAGAGTATGTTAAGCTCACAAAAAAAAACAATGGCTGAAAGAAGAAATAACAAAGGTATGTAGAGTTTAGGCTGGTGGCACCGGTGGTCATTGGAGCACTTGATGTAGCGAACCCTCCAAAATGGTAAAGTGGCACCAACAAATCCCATGAACCACCTCAGAGATCTGTGTCCAGAAGAGTGCAGTTCTAGGAACAGCTAAGATGCAGCCCAGAATCTTCATTCTCCCAGGTGTCTGCACTGTTAAATACCCCTTAGTGTGCCACTACCAAATGCTGGTGTTTATTTAAAAAAAGGTCAAATTTGCCCACTTAGCTAGATTCAGAAATTCAAAAGTCTTTGCCCCTTCCGGGTAAATAACCCTGCATTTGGACGGCTGTGGCGGAGTGGTTAGGGGAGTCGTCCTGGAACTGGAAGGWYGCCAGTTCAATCCCCCGTCCAGCCATTTCAGTTGTTGTGTCCTTGGGCAAGACACTTCACCTGCCTTGCCTACTTCTGGTGTTCAGAAGGTCCGGTGGCGCCGGTTTACGGCAGCCCCACCTCTGTCAGTGCTCACCAGGGCAGCTGTGGCTACAGTGTAGTTTGCCATCAACAGTGTGTGAATGTGTGTGTGCATGGGTCCGTAGGGACTTGATAAAGTGCTCTGTAAGTTCAGTCCTTTTACCATTGTAGAACAGACAGTGTTGTAAAGGTTTGT